CCCTCAATGGGTTAAATAATATAAACTGCTTGATGCTGAACTTTTGGAGAGTGCTGGAAAGGTTGGCTGTGCACTGACACCCTACATGTCCTGTATAAAATACAAAGCTGTACAGTAGATAGCTGCTATTTCAAAAACCTGGCAAAACTAGCACACCTAAATCAATAAACAATTTTAAAAACAAAACACAAACCGAAGCATAATGAAACCCAAGAAATGAGTTTAATAAAACAAAACAGGAAAGAGTTTGCCCAGGAAAACTTGCTCAAAACTACAATGTCAATGTAGAAATGAAAAAACTGCTGTAACTAGTAATACTCGCAGTTTTAATATAGCATCAGGTTTTGAGATATATATCCACGAAAGTTAAAAATATATGGCAACGTTACCAAGCGAGAAAGTAAAAAAATCGTGAATCTTACCGGTAATATTCTCCTTTTAGAGCCATAACAGGCACAGCAAAAATGCACCGTCTTCCCTGACTTTGTAAAACAGACAAAATTGATGAGAAATATCAAGATTTTCAGTTCAAAGACAAACGAAACCAAAATATTTTATATTTTGTGAAAAAAACCAGGGGGGTGAAAGATATTGTTTAAAGCGTAGGATCGCGGTTGGTCAGTGGTAATTACCATGAGAAATAAGAACCAGTAGTCATGGCAATGGCGTAAGATCCGCCATGTTTTTGGCTTCACTTGAATGACTGGCGGAAAGATAGGAGCAGCTCCTCCAGTAATATTATAGCTCAGTGATGTACACGTATCGTTCACGTTCGATAGAATACAATTCACAATTAATTTTAGCCACTAGTCGATCTTTTCAGTTGAAAATCAAGAAATGCTCAACTTGAATTTGTATTTTTTTAACGAATCCTTACGAGAAGTTGTCTTGGCCAGCCGGTCAAAAAAAATCAAAGTTGGGACAAAACTTTTTCGACTATTGCGCTCAACAAACGTCCGAGCGAGTCGTATTTTGATTCAAAGGCCAGGAAGTAAAATATGTTTACGGCTCAGAATTACTTCAATTGAATGCCTTAAAAGTCGTACAAAATTATTAACACAATAACCAAAAATTACGACATGGCCAAAATACAATTGTTGTTTATTTTTTTGCAGCGAAATAATGGTCTAATTAGGCAAAATTTAACACACAAAAATACCTCACTTTCCAACGCTGTGTATTCAATTGCTCAACTCCGAGTCTTATGAAAACTTTTGGAGATAAGCACATAATTATAATCTTTACCATCAACTGAATTTCGAAGTTTGGACGACTTGATAACATGCCCAAATACTGTTTTGAAAATTTCCCTTCATTCAAGTCATCAAAAGCCCGACTCATTATCCTCAATATTTCTTTCAAAATTCAACTATACAGGCCAAACAAGCATTCGTACGATACACTAGTTACTACTTCGTCGTTACAGTGCAAAAACATCCTCGAAAATTTCGTAGTTAATGAAAAAACAGCAAAAATACAACAGCAGGAAAAATCACGCTCCTTGTCAACTTTTGCCGAAAAGCACGCTCGTGCCAGTCCTTTTCCGCATCACACATCGATCAGCACGACATCAGCGCGTTTCACCGCCCTCTATATAAGCGCCCTGGTGCGAGTGCATGCATGAGCTCTTTCATCCAGTCACAATGCTTAAGAGTTAATTTTAATTAGATGCCTGCGAGGAGCTTCGTGCAAGGACTGGAATTGCGCCTTTAGGCAATCATGAATTCGTTATAATATATATTATCTCGATAAGTGGTAACAATATTTATTATATAGAGTTTTTGGCCACTGAGAAAAATCGTATTTAAACACACGTAAAAAATACGATATTTTTACGTGTGAAAATGTAATTTGTTGTAAAACGCATAGCCCGGACGTTTTATTGTTTTTCGCTGAATTCGCAAAGTTTTTATTGACAAGCGCACTTGTTGAAAAACTTGCATGCCAGCTCTTCAACAAGTTCCTTTGTTCAAACTAATGAGCTGTCACGTCGCTAAAATTGCCCGTGAAAATGACATGCCAAGAAAAATGTGACAAGTAAAGAATTGTTCAGTGTTTACAGTGGCAAATACAACTTACCAAAGGAAACTTGTCAGTTGTCAAACGAAAATCATTCACTATGTTTAATGTCTTTAATGTACACGAGCATGTTCAATTAGCCTTTCTCACGCCGCCATTTTTGGGTGGCTTTTCATCCAAAGTCTGCGAGATAAGTCCACATAACAGCGACTTTTTATAATTTTTTGGACAAATGATGGTAAATTCGCTTTGTAAATGGTTAGTTTATTTTGAAAAATTGCTTTTCACATTGTGTTAATTGTCTGCATTGGTTAACGAGAATTGGATGCCACCCAAAAATGGCGGATATTCGTCATCGTGAGAAAGGCTAAATTTGCCAAAAGAAGATTGCTCGTATAAACTAGACTTTATAATAAACACCATTGAATTTTTCTTTTATAATTTTATACGGTCTCTTTTTCTATTTTCGCCAGGAATAACATGCTAAGGATGTTCAAAGGAGATAAATCGTTTATTCCTAGGTTTATGAATGTGTCACAGTTTATGATTGTAAGTTTACCGATACTTCCGTTTTAGTTTGGAGTTTTAATTTTCATCATACAAATGTAGGCACACGCCTTGGTTTAATATTCCCCAAGATGTCCAGATTGTTTGTTAGACTCTGCCTTGGCCATTCTCTGTAGTCTAAAAACTTGTTTTTCAGTAGTCTCAAGTCAAGATTTGTTTTCCAGTAGTCTCAAAATTTGTTTTTCAAATCCTACTTGTCAACAGTTGGAAATGTTGATTCGTGTTAGTCGATGAGTTTAATGAGTCGACAAATAAAAATGTCGAACAAACGCGTTAACAAACTATTTGACATGTATACAGGGATTAATACAAGCATTTTAGTCTACTACCTTTTTTTCGGAAGAAGATTGCAAATAAATGAGTTTTAGACGGAGAACAGTACCTCACGTCTGCCTCTCCTCCCCCCGATAATGTTCTTGATTTTGTCTCTATAACAACTTTTCCAGCATGCAGACATAACCGTTTTTAAACTGGTTGAAGAATATATACAGCGATCAAGTACTTCCTTTTACAGTTAATTCACATTTACCACCATTTCGTCAAAGTATATTGTGAAATATATATATATATATAGTTACAGAAGTTTCAATATTCACTTGAAGATTTTTTGCTACCGTACACCTGTTGTAGAAAAGTGTTGTATAAATCCCTGGTAAGGCACCAGAAAATAAAACATGGCAGCAACTAGGGCCAAAAAAAAAAATATGTGGGTTTCCGGTTTCTTCTTATAAAAACTTAGGTAGGGTAGGTCGGTTTTAACTTTTTTTTTAAACTTTTTTTTTTAATTTTCCGAATAAGCTGACGCCATTTTGTTTAGTCAGTGTTTCCACATCCAAAGATAAATTTCCCTAATATTGCCTCAAATTTCAATTTTCCACAAACTTTTTCCTCTAAGTGGAAACATTTACAAGCATGATCCAATAAAAAAGTTTAGGGTCGGGATTTCGACGTCGAAAAGCTAGGTAGGGTTGGGAAACCGGAAACCCACATATTTTTTTTTTGGCCTAGTTAAATGTGACTGACCTGAATGTCCTGAATATATCGTTCTTTTTATTAGGGAAAGGGTTTGAGATATCACAGTTTTCAAATTGGCTACTTTATGTGGGGTAGGTGTTTTTTGGTTAAGTTAAATGTGTCGCTATTGGGTCGTCACCAACATATGTGAACGGGCTTTGCTTCATGGTGGGTGGTGGCACCGAAGAGAAATGTTTTTCGCAATGAGTAGCGATTGGTCAAACACCACTATTGGCAACGTAGTGGCCAATCATATGCTTTGTTCGCGAACGACATGTTGTTCACGCCTATGGGCCTCGTTTCAATGTTTGTTGACGACCAACCCACGCGCCTTCAATACTTGTATTTGGGGACTGTATATTAAATGTTACATGAAGTACACACCACTCACAAGTATTGAAGGCGCGTGGGTTGGTCGTCAACAAACATTGAAACGAGGCCCATAGGCGTGAACATTTTGGTCCTTCGAGCCGGATCAGAGCAAAACTAGACAGAACTGAGAAACTGTGGGACATAATTTTGGAATAAAATAATGTCTGTAGCCGAAAATACAAGATCACGAAAGGATAAAAGATCTCAAAAGGATGACATAGATCATGAGGAAGTCCCAGAAACAAGCCAAATCCCTCAAGCCGATCAGAACATTGAGAAGGTAAACAGTTCAAGACATGTTAGAGAAGACCCATCAACCCCCCTCTCCAAAGCAATCAAAGGCATTCGCTTCAAGAGACGTGTTGCAATAGGGATGATCACCAGATATATTAATGCGACCAACAAAATGATGGAAGAAAAACGTAGTCGGACTGCTATAAAGAGAAATCTACATGACATCCAAACTAAATTTAAAGAAGTAGTAGCCTACAATGACCAGCTCGAAAAGTATCTTGAAGGGGATGAAGAAATACTCGCGGACATGTATATCCTCACTGACTTAACAGTCGACGTAAATTGCATAACTGGCATGGTACAGGAACATCTACAAGACCGAACCGGTGAGACCTCGACATACATCGGTTCAGAGACTAGTTCACAGCACAGTAGTCCACCCCCCGAGCCCCAAGTGGAAGGTGATGATCAAGATGAAACTGACAAGCAGAAACTGGAAGAACTTGAAGCTGAACAGAAGAGAAAAGATGAAGCAGCCTACCTATCAGAATTAGCCCAGCAGAAAAGAACCGAAGCTGCTCGACTCGAATTAGAAGCAGAGGAAGCTGAAAGACAGTCAGAAGCCATTGGAGGTGGGTGTAACCAGTCCGGACAAAAACTGCCTGCAAACCTGCCAACACAGCCAGAGATATGCGGTAAAGAAAAGGCTGCACTTTATGTACAACACCTCGAACAAGTCCAGACACAGGGAGCCCAATCTGAAAATGCCAGTGAAGAAGATTGGATCGTTGGATTTCGAAAGACACTGAAAGTTAATGTTCGATCAGTGGACCCTGGAAAAATCCCCGTAAGAGCAGATGTGCCTATTTATAATGGCGATCCATTGAAGTGGTTGTCCTGGAGTGGTCTCTTCAAAGCGCTTGTACACAATACGAAGATGACCTCGGAAGCCAAGATGGGATTCCTTCACACAAAGCTTTCTAAAGAATGTGACCAAGTGATTGCAGGTCTATTCCCAGATGACGAAGGATATGCCGAAGCCCTAATGCTATTACGGGATAGATATGGTCATCCAACTACGCTACAAGCAGCTCATCTACAAGTATTGAAATCGCTACCTGCTGTCGATCCTGGAGACCCGGACAGTTTAGCAATTAGTTTCCAGACCTTCGTTGATCAAGCGAGAAGTCACCTTGCTGTACTAAAACGATATAGTATGGGAGAATCTCCATTTGTGTCGTCTCTTATTTATGAACTGACTGATAAGTTACCACAGGAGGATGCAAAGGCCTGGCGGACAAAAGTTGGTGAAGGTCAGGTGAAGATGACGCTAGAAGCATTCAGCACATGGTTGGGAGCAAGAGGAAGGTGTTATTGGAGTGCATTGCCCCCACAAAATACTCGAAGAAAAGAATATCGTAACAACCGAAACCGTCCCAGAAGATCTTTATTTGGCCAGCATATTGCCAAATGCGTGAAATGTGATGGCAAGCATAGGACGGAGAACTGTACAAAGTTCAAAGAGTTGTCAACGGAAGACCGTTTCAACTTTGTGAAAGAGAAACGGCTCTGTTTTGGTTGCTTAGAAGAATCTCATATTTCTCGAAATTGTCCACAGAAAAAGGAATGTGGCATCGGGAACTGCAAAAGGAAACATCACCCGTTATTACACCAAGAAGAGAATGTGCGTTCAACCACCACCAAGACACCACAGTCCGGTGTAGCGTTTGGAGTTGTTGAAGTTTCCGTCGTTGGTGCTGGCGGCATTCAAGTGAAAGGAAACCTTTTGTTTGATGATGGTTCTGACACTACGCTGGTCACAGAATCTTTTGTGCGAAAGCTGGGATTGCGGGGAAAGAAGACCACGCTCAACATTTCGGGTGTTGGAGGAAAAGAAAGCAAAAGAACGTCTTCTCAAGTGACCCTCCATGTTAAAACACCACAAGGCAATGCTGAATATGTTAATCTCACAGCCTGGAGCCTTCCAAAGATCTGTCAGCCAGTTGGAACTGTTCAATGGCCTGATATCAAAAGAAAGTGGAAGCACCTGGAAAATGTTAACCTGAAAGCTGTTGGTGGTGAAATTGATATCCTTCTTGGCCTTGATCATGCAGATTTGTTGATACCGTTGGATGTAAAGATGGGAAAACCACAAGAACCCGTAGCCAAAAAGACAAGTTTTGGCTGGATGGCGGTCGGGCTGGTTGGCAAGCCTCGTGGCGACATCCACAGCTATCACGTTGCCAGAGCTGAGCCAGAACAACTCGATGTTGCCTTTAAGCAGTTTTGGGATAGCGAGTCGTTTGGGACTAAGACAACGAACTTGCCACACTACTCCAATGATGATCAACGAGCCTTGGATATACTGGAACACGAGACTAGGAAGTTGGAGACCGGTTACGAGGTCCCCTTGTTATGGAAAGAAAACGAACCACAGCTTCAGAACAATCGAGAAGTCGCGCAAAAGAGATTGGAAGGCTTGCAACGACGATTTGAGCGAGACCCAGAGTATGAGAAAGATTATCGCAAAGCTGTCAGCAAGTATGTAGAAGACGGATATGCGCACAAAGTGGGTGAAGAAGACGACTTCAATGGACCAAATCAGTGGTATCTCCCTCATCACGGAGTATATAAGAAATCATCCGCCGAGAAGAAGATCCGAGTAGTCTTTGATGCCTCAGCTAAGTACAGAGGCAAATGTTTGAACGATGCTTTACTCCCAGGACCTGTTCTACAGAATGAACTTCCCAAGTCCTCACAAAGTTCCGGGAAGGTGATGTTGCATTCGGAGCCGATATCGAGGCAATGTTTAGCCGAGTTAGATTGCAGGAACAAGATGCTAGATATCATCGCTTTCTGTGGAAAGAGAAAAACAGTGAGGTCATTGACACTTATCAGATGAACAGATTAGCCTTCGGTGATACCTTCGTCACCATGCGAAGCAATTTATGTCACTCGCCGAACTGCTAAAGATCATGGACAAGGACAAGAAGATGCTGTGAGAGCTATTAACGAGAACTTGTACGTGGACGACTATCTTGACTCTGCAGAGACTAAGGAACAAGCAATCAAGAGAGGACAGCAAGTAAAGGAGATCTTAGCAAAGGGTGATTTACATTTAAGGAAGTGGACTTCCAACATCGCGGAAGTAGTATCTGAGCTCGGACAGGAAACGAAACCTGAAGTTGACATTGTGACCAACCTTGTCGAACATGAACCAGAAAAGAAAATTCTCGGTGTAAAATGGAACACTGAAACTGACGAACTTACATTTGCAGTTGCACCGGTTGAAGATGTAAGATACACCCGAAGAGGCCTCCTGAGCAAGCTGGCCGGCGTGTTCGACCCCCTTGGGTTAGCTTCGCCATTCATTATCAAAGCAAAGATCCTAACACAACAGTTGTGCCTACTAGGTCTCGATTGGGATGACCCCATTCCTAATTCCCACCTGACGAAGTGGAAAGCTTGGTTAAGAAGGCTGCCAGAGTTAGAGCTAGTAAGTGTACCACGATGTATACAACCTAAGAAGAAAAACGTGATCGAGTCAGAGATCCATACGTTCTGTGATGCCTCGGAGGAAGCTTTCGCGGCCGTGGTCTATTTGAGAAGCATTTATGACGATGGCGACGTACGGTGCTCCTTCCTGATGGCCAAGACGAAAGTAGCTCCGAAGAAAGCTTTAAGTGTAGCAAGGCTTGAACTGCAAGCTGCCCTTCTAGGTGCTCGCCTAGCGAATTATGTTAAAGAAGCTATGACACGACACATTGACCGCGTGTTCTTTTGGACGGACAGTAAATGTGTTATTGGTTGGATACGATCTACTGCAGTTTGGTATAAGCCGTTCGTCGCTCACCGAGTTGGCGAAATCCAAACGTTGACAGACCCAAAGTCCTGGCGCCACGTACCTGGCCGACTGAATGTAAGTGACTGTGCCACCCGTTCGAGATTTGATGAGCGATCGGAATTGATTCCCGTGCGTTGGTTCACTGGTCCTGATTTCCTTTATCAAGGTGAAGATAACTGGCCAAAGGAAATGCCTGTCGAAGAGTTACAGCAACACGAAGAAATCAAACCAAGCAAAATATTCGTTGCCAAATCCAACCCAGAGCGTGTTCCCGTCTATGCTGACGTCGACTTAGAGCGATTTTCGTCCCTGTCGAAAGCACAGCGAGTAGCAGCGTTAGTTCATCGTTTCTTCAATGTATGTAAAGGAAAGAAACCAAAGAGTAGTGTCGTAACCGTACAAGAATTACGAGTTGGACAGACTGCTCTAGTGCGCCAATGTCAACGAGAAGCATTCCCCGACGAGCTCCAATCCTTGGAAAGAACGAATAGTGTCAGCAAGCGATCAAAACTGTTGCCTTTTACCCCCTACCTGGACGAGAATAACGTAATCCGTGTTGGAGGAAGACTTGACCGAGCTCAATTACCTTACGAAGTGCGACACCCGATCCTCCTACCTCAGAAACACCGTTTGACCCAGCTGATTGTCGGGAGCTATCATCGGTCGAAAAACACGGAGGAACTGACCACGTTTTGGCCGCAATTCGTCAAAAGTTCTGGATAATTCGCGGACGACAGGAAGTCAAGAGTTTCAAGAGAAAGTGCACTCAGTGTAAGAAAGAACGAGCGAAGCCCGGCAGTCAGTTACTAAGTGAACTTCCTATCGAAAGAATAACTACCATGCAACCAGCATTTTACCACACTTCTGTGGATTATTTCGGGCCAATCGAAGTCAAGTTGACTCGAAACACGAAAGCGAAGAGATACGGCGCCCTGTTTACATGCATGACGACTCGATGTGTTCATTTGGAAGTTGCTGAATCGTTATCCACCCCTGACTTCCTACAAGCTCTTCACAAGATGATGGCGAGGCGTGGAGAGCCAAGATCTATCTACAGTGACAACGGCACGAACTTCGTCGGCGCAGTCTCTGAATTGAAGTCGATGGTTAGAGAACTAAATCATAGTGAAGAACTTCAAACCCGCCTAGCTAGAATTGGAGAAGGAATCACCTGGAAGTTCCAACCCCCTGCAAGCCCTCACTGGGGAGGAGTACACGAGAGCTTAGTTAAGTCAGTCAAGACAGCACTTAACCGTACCCTGAATCCAAAAGGAGGACCAAAGAGAAGTAACCCTACAGATTTGCAGTTGTCCGCTCTCTTTGCCGAAGTCGAGCGATTCGTCAATTCACGACCGATAACATACGTCAGCAGCGATCCTGAGGACATAGAGGCTCTGACACCCTACCACTTTTGGTTACATCGACGCTCGCCAGTTGTCCCACTCGGAGAGTACAGCCGACCAAACTTTCAAGGTCGTTTCAAACAGACCCAGCACTTAGCAAATGTCGTGTGGCAGCAGTGGGTGAAGCTCTACCTGCCTAATCTCATCTCCCGGAAGAAGTGGCGTAACGAGGAAAGGAATATTTCAGTTAACGACGTTGTTCTCATAGCAGATCCGGGTCTTCTACGTGGTGAGTGGAAGTTAGGACGAGTTGTTGAAACATGTCCTGGAAAAGATGGACGAGTTCGAGCTGCCAAAGTGAAGACTAACAATGGTGTTTATACCAGACCAGTTACGAAATTATGTCTTCTCGAAGAGGAATGCGGATACGATCGTCGCCCCGATGAAATCGAGACGAACGATGGGGAGGAGTGATGGACGGGCGTTGAGAAACTTTACATGAAGTATGCGTTTATTATACTGCGGGCTCAAGAACAAACGTTGTCGTGACGTTTTGAGAGAACTGAGTTGTTTAAAAGGAAATTGGTCGTTTTGTACGCTGTTTTGGACGCTTTTGGATCGTGAAAACTTGTTATTATTGTCGATTTTGTATTGCTCTGTTGGCTGGCTTGAATCAAGAAGATTTGACTGTTTTTGAACGGTAAAAATGAGCATAATTTGACTGATTTATTTCCGTATATGTGACGGTCGTAATATTTTAACTTAGACAGTCTCAGTTTATTCATTTATGTATTGTGTAAGGTTCATATGTATGTTTTGGTATTTCTGTATTATTTCGCTTTGTAAGTTTATGAATATTTGTCTTTTTAGCGTGAAAAATAAAACCGTTCGTTATTGTGAGTGGTGTGTACTTCATGTAACATTTAATATACAGTCCCCAAATACAAGTATTGAAGGCGCGTGGGTTGGTCGTCAACAAACATTGAAACGAGGCCCATAGGCGTGAACACTGATTCTTTTGCGTTTTAACGATCTTGAAAAATTGCCGCCATCTTGAAAACCACGCTCTAAGGCCCGGTTTAGACGCCGTGCTTTTCATGAGCCGAACTTAATGCAAATTAGCTTAAACAAAGAACTTAGTTAATTAACATTAAGTTCGGCTCATGATAAGCACGGCGTCTAAACCGGGCCTAACAAAGATCAGTGCCCTAGGGCAATGGGTCTCAGTGAAATTAATGTAACTGGAACGCTATAGAAGAACTGCGTCCCAGACACGCATGTGTCAAGGCCTGCGTGTTTATTCCTCGCGAGCATATGCCGCTGTTATCAGAAAAATTTCTTTTTAAAACCTAAAAATAAAGTAGGAAGTTTTACCTGAATAAATATATTAAGGCTTTGAGTGTTGTTAGAAAGCTTATTTTGTAAATTTTACCCTAAACCTTACCCTATACTGAAACTCAACTCAAACCCTAACCCCAACATTAAGCCCAAACTAAAGTGATTTCCGAGCGGTTTAAATGTTGAACTGAAAACCTCCATAGACTGCAGACTTCTGTCTATAGCTGGTTCTAAAACTACCAGCATTTTGCAACAATCTCATTTTGCAACTGGTGCGAACATCAATTATTTATAACATCCATGTTATTGTTGAACTTTATCCTTTGTTTCGAAATATAAACAGCGCCGTCTGTAATATATAATTTTGCTTCAAAATATATGCTCGTGCATTTTATTATTACAAAAAGCTAGTTCACTTCGCGGGGAGAAATGAACAAAATATGCGTCGTTTATAAAGCGTTTTTGGCTGCGATATGTTGTGGGGTACTTGTAAATGGATTTGAACATGACACGTTTTGGGGCGAGAAAGGTTTGTATGCGGATTTTACAACTATATTCATCGAATCGTCGAGCGCTTTATTTTAAAGCCGACTTTTTAATTCGTTGTGGTAATCATTTAATTAATTCGGTCATTGTGGACTTGTGGTCAACGCACTGATTTGTAAAGACGGGTTTGCGGTTGAGATATCGCGAGCCTTGCGCCAAGGATTTCGTTTGACAAAGAAGACACGGACTACTATTAGGGACCTTACGATTTTAGGACGGCAACGCGACGGCGACGGCCAAAACAAACTCCTTCAAATAAATGGTAGTGAAGATAGTTCGTCGTATATTATCAATCGTATGAATTTAATACAGTTTTAGAAGTTGAAGACATGGGTTTCATAGTTGGGAAGAGTTCTGCTAAACTCAGTTTGAAGTTGCCACTTGTCGTGGCTTGGAATGCAGCCGTTGTATCAAGACGTGAAAATCTGTGATTTGGCGTTGTAAACAGAGCGAGGACAATGTCTAAATTATTCATATATTATATTTTGTGTTCAATATATAGACCACAGTAAGACTTTTTTTAAATGTTTATTTCATTAACAAACGATGTTTCGGAGATGAAACAATGATGTTTCGACGTTTTCGGAATGTCTAAATTGTAAATTGTAATCCTATTAAATACCTGAAGATGGAGTAAATCTCCGAAACGTCGTTTATTAATGAAATAAACATTTAAAAAAAGTCTTACTGTGGTCTATATATTGAACACAAAATATACTATTAACATGAGACTTAGGGAAAGTTCGTTCCTAAACATTTATTCATATATTGTATAATTACTCAATTCTTTCCAATGATCTATTGTATTTGTAGCCGTCGGCCCGTCGCCGTCGCGGTTGCCGTCCTAAAATCGTAAGGTCTCTATTATCAATGATCCGACGGCGAATAGACACACACCGCGGATTAAAGCGGACTGCGACGACGGCTCTTTGACAAACTATCTTTTTTTGCCGCCAACTTTATCCAGACAGCCGATCAATCCGTGTCTAATAAATGCGTCTCTGTGCATGGCCTGCCGACTATGCATATTTGAAATGCTTAAAACACGGCCATGCCGTTCTGTTGGCGTTTCAATTTTTTATCTGACACGTAAAAATCTCACAACTAATTGTCATGCAACATGCTTGTAGCAAGCTTGTCAACAAGTTGTAACAATGCTGTTATTTTATCAAGTTACTACAATGTTGTCACTCACAACTTGTTGACAAATTGTTGAATTGCTGCAGGGGCCCGGTTGTAGCTATAAAACTCTTAATCACTTTTTAGTTACTATTTTGTAGTTAAATAGTGATTAACTCTCAAATACGCGCTTCTTATTGGATGACGTTTCCACTGACTGTAGTTAACTTTAAAGTGCCTATGACACGAAATTTCACCCCAAAGGTTTATGGTTGCATTGTTAAGATCACTTAAAATGACTTAATAATATCTTTTATAGAATTTTGGTAACTTGCTCCCTTTTCAAGATATTCAACTTTGTTTCATATGCAAATATCACCGGTGTGACATCACATCACATAATGAGTTTTCAGAAAAGTATACTTTTCTTGACGAATACGTATCTAAAAAACTTAAAAATTGCCCTTGTATATGTATTAATTTCATAACTGGTAATTAACCCTCTGTATTAGTTTGTAAAAATATTTTTTCAAGGTAAAATATTGCGTTTTCAAAATGTCATTATGCGATGTGATGTCACACCGATGATATTTGCATATGAAACAAAGTTGAATATCTTGCAAAGCAAGCAAGTTACCAAAATTCTATAAAAGAAATTATTAAGTCATTTTAAGTGAACTTTACAATGCAATCATAAACATTTGGGGTGAAATTTCGTGTCATAGGCACTTTCATCGCTTTTATATACAACCGGTCCCAGGACGATAACAAGTTGTTGGAACAACTTGCAACAAGTCTGTTGAGTTCAACAACCTTGTAGCAAATTGTCAACAAGCTGGGAACAAGCAGTGCGGACACATCTTGCTGACGAGTTGTTGGGGCAGGATTGCTACAGTAGTCTGCTGTAGGTTTGTTACAACTTGTGCGTTTTCACGTATGCATGTATAAAGATAAAAATATTAGTGTGTTTTGGTTTACGAAACCAAATATCATCGATATGATGAAAGATGTATCAAATATAGTATCGTTTCGCTTACCCATAGCCTATCGAAGGGAAGATGGCTGTGAAACTCAATATAACTCATTATCTATGTTGGGCAACGTTTATTCATAAATCTGGTCCTTCACCGTCACGTGTGTATTGTATTCTTGCACAACTAACCAATAGCAATGTTTTAGGAAACTCACCTAGGCCAAAAAAAAATATGTGGGTTTCCGGTTTCTTCTTAAAAAAACTTAGGTAGGGTAGGTCCGTTTTAACTTTTTTTTAAACTTTTTTTTAAATTTTCCGAATAAGCGGACGCCATTTTGTTTAGTCAGTGCTTCCACATCCAAAAATAAATTTCCCTAATATTGCCTCAAATTTCAATTTTCCACAAACTTTTTCCTCTAAGTGGAAACACTTACAAGCATGATCCATTAAAAAAGTTTAGGGTCGGGATTTCGACGTCCAACAGCTAGGTAGGGTCGGGAAACCGGAAACTCACATATTTTTTTTTGGCCCTATCTGTGACTCGAACAATAGGGAAACTGGAAATTGCTATTGGTCGATTTGGTAAAAATACAATACACACGTGACGGTGAAACGACCAGACTTATGAATAAACGTCGAGTTATATTGTTATTCTAATGAGTTTCACAGCCATCTCCCCTTCGATAGGCTATGGCTTACCTCGAGGTAAAACGTCCCGTAGCTGGTGACGAAGATTTTGAAGCCAGCGAAAGAAAAATGTAAAATTATACAATCTTCTTTCTTTTCTAAAATTCTCATCCATTCTTCTTCAGCTCCAAAAGGTTGTGTTCCCTGTCCTAAAAACAAAGAAGGATTATTCGACACACCGATCTGTGGCACAAATAAAGTAGCGTACAAGAATCACTGTTATCTACGACTGAGGAATTGCATCGCGAAATTACTACGAAAATCATTTGTGCAACCTTCGAAAAAACCTGCATTATGTGGGTAAGTTGATAGATCAGATTTCAGGGTTTGAATACACATGTGAGGAAGAGTCAAATTCAAGGACTTTCCAAGGACATTCAAGGCCATGTATCGGCAAATTCAGGGACTAAATACTGAAGAAAAGCGGTTAGAAATCAGTAAAGTCTGACGTTGAATTGTTCAAAACGCAACTTTAATGATTTCAAACAGCTTTGTCATGAGCTGTGATGAACATGCAAAATGAATTCAACAAAATGTCGGTTTTGAATGTCAAACAATTTCAGAAAATATCCAGAAACTAAAGCAAGAAGAATTTAAGGACTTTCAAGTACTTCTTTACAAATTCCAGGATATTCAAGGCTTTGAATTTTGTTTTCAAATTCAAGGACATTCAAGGACTTTCAAGTTTTGTGTGAACCCTGTGAAGGCCTGTGAATTATACATTATAGAGAGGGAAGTGACCCGCTATACACATGCAAAAATCTCACAACTTCGGTAGCAAGTGCGCCAACATGCCGTCAACAAGTTGTATTCGCACTGCTTGTCCCAAGTTGTCAACAAGTATGGAACACAACTTGTTAACGAGTTTATCTATTATAGTCGAGTGTCGAGAGTTAAATGTCGAGGGCGAGGGCAAAAAGTCGAGGGTGAGGGTAAAAAGTCGAGGGTAAAAAGTCGAGGGTTAAATGTCGACTGCTAAATGTCGAGGGTAACATGTCGAGGGTTAAATGTCGAATATTACATGTCGAGGGTGAAAAAATCACAAAACAATACTATATTAAGATTAGGTAACCGCTTCGGATAAGGAAATAGCGAGGTCTATGTGTCTTCTCGGCAGTATTGTTATATGACTATTGAGCACATTTAAACCAATAAAAAACAAACTTATTAAGAGTTTCTGTCTAAAATTTAACGATAGGTACTCGGAGTTTTACTAAAGTGCTCAATAGTCAATACGGCCGAGAAGACACATAGACCTCGCTATTTCCTTATCCGAAGCGGTTACCTGACCTTAATATAGTATTTTTTTGTGATTTTTTCACCCTCGACTTGTATATACAGTAATTGGAAGTACGTAGACGACGTGACGATATCTGAGATTGTTCCAACAAGGGAGGTATCTATACTACAAAACGAATTGGACGCAATTGGTAATTGGACAAGTACCAATAATATGAAATTGAACCCCAAAAAGTGTAAAGAGATGATTGTCTCCTTTCGACGAGATATTGAGCAGCCACCACCCACCTTAGTTGTTGAAACCATTAGTCTTGAAAGAATAGAATCCTACAAAGTATTAGGTTTAACGATCCAGAATAATCTGAAGTGGGATTTGCATATCAGTGAGATAGTAACCAAAGCATCAAAAAGACTACACATCTTACGAGTTCTCAAGCGCAGTGGAGGTTCACCGTTTCATTTACTACGAGTACATTTTGCACTTATTAGATCCCTGCTTGAGTACTGCTGTCCGGTATGGCATTCATCATTGACCATTAACTTGTCAGATAAAATTGAACGGGTCCAGAAGCTATGACGCTGCTCTGGACCAAGCTAAATGTTCGACATTACGCGCAAGACGTGATATGGTTTGTGCATAAAAACTTTTGACAAAATCAGACAGCCTGATTCACGCCTTAATCATTTAATACCACCTTCTCGGGCCAATGGACACAATTGTAATTTAAGGTACGGAAATAGATTAACACTGTTTCCTTGTAAGACGGAGCGCTTTAAGAAAAGCTTTTTTCCTACTATGTGTATTCAATCACATAATTTATAAATTTTTTAAATTTTGTAAATTTAAAAGTTCTTTCGATATTAATTCATAGATCAGTAAACTATTGTTGTAATATAATGCCAGTAACACAAGGTACTTTTTAATACTTTTAACTAAAGTTTGTAAATAATTTCGCAATTCGCTTTCATCGAGCGCGACGATTTTTATAATAAACCATTAATAATATTCGACATTTAACCCTCGACATGTTACCCTCGACATTTAGCAGTCGACATTTAACCCTCGACTTTTTACCCTCGACTTTTTACTCTCACCCTCGACTTTTTACCCTCGCCCTCGACATTTAACTCTCGACACTCAACACTCGACTAATAGATAAACTTTTTGTTAACAGTTGTAATCGACCTTGTTGATATTAGACAGATTTAGATCGAGGACGCGGACGACAAAGACGACGTGAAAATGGCGTCAAAATGGCGTGGCATATCCATACATGCATGGGCACAACACGCCATTTTCACGTCGTCTTTGACGTCCGCGTCCTCGATCTAAATCTGTCTATTACCAGACTTAGTGCACGGTTGTTCCAACAAGTACGATACAGCTCATAATATAACAATATTGTTACAACCCCGTGTCATCATAACATTGTAACATTCTTGTTATATCATGACTGTATCAGACTTGTTGGAACCACCTTGCAAACAACCTCGTACCCAGGGCCTGCCCGCCCGATTATTTTAATATGGCTGCCTTCAACTCGCGGCTAGCCCTGGTTATGAGGTTGCCTTGTAACAAGTCTGATAACGCCATCAAGCTTGTTATAAGTTGTTAACAGCTTGTTACAAACTTGTTCCAACAACTGGGAACAAGCAGTGCGAACCCTATATAGTTTCAGAGTTGATATAAATATTCATTTTTATTTTCAGATTGCGAATGCAAATGTTTGACACGTGGAAAACCACTTGGCCATGATTTGAGTGAACACTTCCTTCATAAACATTTTCTCAAAAACCTTTCTATTTTTGCACTTTGTAAGCATGTACTCGTAATATTTCATTTTGTAAATTATCAGACATTTCTTACGTAACAGCATTAAAACCTGATGATTGTGTCTAATAAACGAACCTTCGATTTTATGCAAACTTGGAATGAAGCAAATAATCATTGACACCATGCACAGATTAAGGTATGCGAACAATTGTTTCGGATACTAGTATCTGCATATTATTTAAATTTTACCGCACATTTTAATTAAGTTCATCACGATCATTAAGCCGTAGTTTGGCTTTGTAAAATGTGGATTATTGTCGTTTTGATAAATTAGTTACAAATCCTGCCCGTACATTTAATTGCGTTGTTGCCCAGTTTTAAGTATCGTAAATAATCATTATATTTTATTATTGGTTTTAGTTTTCTTTCTTATTTCCTTGATTAGCTCACGGAATTTTGTTTCCACAATGCACAATTTTAATTTTGTATGATTCTTAAAAGATATTTTATGTAAAAATTGGATAACCATCTACATTCCTGATAAAATTTGAATATAAGAGTGAACATGGGGACTGGGGCGAGAATGCATGCTGCATTCCAAATG